TTCAGGCCAAAGAGTTCAATCTTGGTTTCATCAGACCAGAGAATCTTGTTTCTCTTGGTCTGAGTCATTTAGGTGCGTTTTGGCAAACTCCAAGCGGGCTGTCATGTGCCTTTTACTGAGTAGTGGCTTCCGTCTGGCCACTCCACCGTAAAGGCCTGATTGGTGGAGTGCTGCAGAGATGTTTGTCCTTCTGGAAGGTTCTTCCATCTCCACAGAGGAACTCTGGAGCTGTCAGAGGGACAATCGGGTTCTTGGTCACCTCCCTGACCAAGGCCCTTCTCCCCCGATTGCTCAGTTTGGCCGGGCGGCCAGCTCTAGGAGAGTCTTGGTGGTTCCAAACTTCTTCCATTTAAGACTGATGGAGGCCACTGTGTTCTTGGGGACCTTCAATGCTGCAGACATTTTTTGGTACCCTTCCCAAGATCTGTGCCTCGACACAATCCTGTCTCGGAGCTCTACGGACAATTCCTTCGACCTCATGGCTTGGTTTTTGCTCTGACATGCACTGTCAACTGTGGGACCTTAGATAGACAGGTGTGTGCCTATCCAAATCATGTTCAATCAGTTGAATTTACCACAGGTAGACTCCAATCAAGTTGTTGAAACATCTAAAGGATGATCAATGGAAACAGGATGCACCTGAGCTCAATGTCAAGTCTCATAGCAAAGGGTCTGAATACTCATGTAAATAAGGTATTTCTGTTTATTATTTGTAATAAATTTGCAGCTGCAGGGCGCCCTTATGTAGGCCGGGGACCAATTTATTTTTTTGTTACTCAGTCGGGGTCTCAACTAACTGTTGAGAGTTAGAATAATAGAGTACACGAGGTGCAATTTCGAAATGTGGTTGTGCATCAGCAGTCACTCAACTAGTCCATGTCAGCAAAAACAAATTTGATTGACAAGTTAGCTGGCCACTAGACTAACTAAACGTATAGTTAGCAGGGTCGAATTACCAACCAGGGTGGTGCCCATTGATCATCAATTATCTTATTAAAAACTGCAAACATTTGCCTCCACCCTATGGCAAAATGTGTAGAATTGCAGGAAATTAGCTGTAAAACTTAGGTTTTTTTGGCCCCCACTGATATAGAAATTAAAATACATACAGGTTAAAAGTAATGACTAAATGTTCCACCCTTAAATATAGTTGTGAAATGTTCTTGTTTTAAGTATGATTAGTACTTTCTTAGTAGTGACTAATTATTACACTCCGAAACTGTGTGAGATGTGTTAGAATCTACTACCTGGTAATGTGTGAGTGTAGGACCAGTAAAGATTATGACATTGTGTTACTATTTAGCAATGTGAGTAGGAGTTAGACCGGACGGCGAAGAAGAAGGAGAACTGTTAAACATGGTGCAGAATATTGTGAGAACGGCGATAACTGAGGAATTTAGGGAGGAGAGAGACTATGATGAGAACGTGTGTGTGTGTGTGTGTGTGTGTGTGTGTGTGTGAACTGATGGTCTGGAGAGCAGTTTTAAAGTGGAAAACTACAGCCCGCCTACAGAGGGGTGGGATTTTCGTATGACGTGTGCGTATAAAAATATTGTACGACCATTTTGTGGCAGAATTCTCAATGAATAAACATCTCTGACTATGCAGACCGGGACTCTGTCCGTTTCTTGATCCAAAAGCATTACAACCTTTTGGGAGACGAACAGAGACACTGAAATAGTTTGTTAAATAATTCTCATAACACCCACCCCCATCAAAGTTGTCCATCCCTGGTGAAGTACCATCTAAACCGCTGTGAAATATATTTTCCATAACCAAAAATATTGTATTTTCAGCTGTTTGAAGCTGGGGTACAAAACCAGAAACGTAAGTACGGTAAGCATAGAAAGTGCACATAGAACAGCTCTACCACTTCTTAGATTTGCTTTCAATGAGAATCAGATCTAGAACTCACAGTTCTATGTGAATTTGGTCAGGTTGAACAATAAGTTACATATTGCAGCTTTAATGTTCACAATATGTAACTTTTTGGGCGACCCAACCAAATTCACATAGAAATAGATCTGTCATTCTCATTGAAAGACAAAATTATGACACTAGCTTGCAAAAAAAAATATATAGATGACATTGATTTTAGCGTTGGCAATTTGGCTTAGTCTCATAATGAGGAGCCTATAAAACGTAGCTAGCTTCACAAACATATTTTGGGGAATTCTGAAATAAATACATGGAATAAATTACCAAACTATAAAACTAGCTAGCCAGCTATGGGTAACTGTAGCTAGCTAGCTACATGACAGGAGTGCTAGCTAGCTACGTTAGCTTGCTAGGTACATTAATTGCTTTAGGTTGGTTGTTTTTAAGCTCAACTTCAAGATTTCCACCAAGGATGTTGCCGCTCCCTCTTCTTCTTCTTCAGTGGGGTTTATCGGCGGTTGGCATCCAACATTATGGTGCATTACCGCCACCTACCGTACTGGAATGTGGGCCAGAGACGGGAAGAAACTAAATCCTACCTGCCAACCCCGTTTCTCTTAAAAAATATAACAAAATATTTGAGACTATATCTAATGACGTTTTGCTCAATATACTCTTTACACTAATTTCCTGTATCCCCTTCTCCCGCATACTAAATCTCATCCTCTCTCTTTCCCTCTGATACTGCCCACACTGTAGCAATACATGCTCCACAGTCTCTATTTCCTGACAATAATCACACTTTCCTGATGGATGCTTTCCTATCACGTTTAACATCTTATTCAACTGGCTGTGTACCACCCTTAATCTTGTAAAAATAGCCTCCTCTCTTCTGTCCCTTCGTGCCGTCCTCCCCTCCCCGACTTTCCTCTGTACCTGAAATAAATGCCTTCCCGTTTTATTTATATTACACTGCTCCTGCCATCTCTGCACCATCACTGTATATATATCAGTCTTTTTGCCTCTGCCTTGCTCATTGACACTTCAACATCAACATCCCCACTACTAAGTGCTTGTTTAGCCTGTTCATCTACAGCCTCGTTCCCCTCCACCCCCACATGGGCTGGAACCCAAGTAAATCTTATCTGAATACCCATCTGTTTAATCCTGCCATGGGTTTGTAGCACCTCATAAAGCAGGTCTTGTCTGCTACGTGAGCTAAAGGACTGGAGGCTCAATAACACTGCACTTGAGTCAGAGTAAATAACTATTCTATCTGGCTTAACTTCCTCCACCCACTGCAAGGCCAACAGTATGGCCATCAGCTCTGGCGTATATACAGCCAGATGATCTGTAATACGTTTCCTGACTTCCACCCCACACTCCTGCACTACAAATGCTGATCCAGTACGTCCTGTCCTTGGATCTTTTGAACCATCTGTGTAAATGGCCACAAATCCTGATACACAGTTTCCAGACGTCTCTTAAAGAAATCAGCTGGATCAACCCCCTCCCTATCTTTCTGTAGTCTCTCCAACACTTCTAAATCAACTACTGGAGGCGGGAGTAGCCATGGTGGATTTACAGGAATAACTACCGTTGGACTAAACTCCCTTCCATACAGTCCCATCTCCTTCGCCTGGATATTACCCACCCACCCAAAGCTCGTGTTCGGTCTTCGCTCATATTCCCAGCATGCCTGTAAAATCCCTTTCGCAGGATGAGACACCCCATGTCCTTGTAGGTTGACCCAATAATTCATTGCCAGCTGCTGTCTCCTAATCTGCAATGGCATATCCCCCATCTCCACCTGTAATGCAGCCACTGGGGACGTCCGAAACGCCCCACTACATATTCTGAGTCCTTGCCCCTGTATGACATCTAGCCTTTCCAGTGAGGTCCGGGCTGCCAAACCATATGCTATACTTCCATAATCTATTACAGATCGGATCAATGCAACATACATGGTCTTCAATGAGGAACGCCCAGCCCCCCACTCCTTCCCCGTCAGACAGAGCATCACATTTAGCACCTTCTTACACTTTCCCACCACTCTCTCAATGTGTTCTGCCCAGGTCAGTCTAGTATCAAAGTATACCCCAAGGAACCTGAAGGCCCCCACCCTCTCCAAGTTTCTCCCATATAACCTCAAGCATACCTCATCTCCCACCTTCTCCTGGTAAAGAACACTGTTTGAGTTTTCTCTACAGAGAACCTGAATCCCCACATTAATGGCCACTGCTCTACCTCATCAATTACTTCCTGTACCTTCCTGACTATGTATGGCACATTTCTTCCCCTCTTCCATAAGGCACCATCATCTGCAAATAACGACCTGTACCTGAGAGTAAACATCATTGATCATGATTGAAAACAACAGAGGACTAATCACGCTCCCCTGCGGTGTACCATTATCCACCAAGTAGCTGCCTGATATAGACTTCCCCACCCTCACCTGGATAGACCTTCCAAACAGGAAGTCCTTTATCCAGTTGTACATTCTTCCTCCTACCCCCATAATATCAAGCTTGATTAACAACCCCTCCTTCCACAACATATCATACGCCTTCTCCACATCAAAAAAGACAGCTACAACAGTTTCCTTGTTCACCTGAGCCTTCCTGACCTCTGCTTCTAAGCAGAGCACTGGATCCATAGTTCCCCTACCCTTCCTGAACCCACTCTGATATGCAGTTACTAGCCCTCTGCTCTCCAGGAAGTAAGTTAGCCTCTCCGTAATCATACGTTCCATAATCTTACAAACATGTGATGTTAAAGCCATTGGCCGACAGCTTGTTGGCTTCGTTGAATCCTTCCCGGGCTTCCGGATTGGTACCACTACTACCTCCTTCCAACTGCCTGGTAGTTTCCCCTCCTCCCTGCCTCTCCCTCGCTTGGGCAAGGGACACTTAAGGTACACTCGGATGTGACGATGTAAAACGTCATTCAAGGGCTGAATATTTAGGGCCGAGGGCTGTCTACTTTGAGTTTGGACTGCAGCCATGATTGATCGCACACTCCAGAACAGTAGGTGGCGCCATGCACCTTAAACGTTTGTTTGCGGACCGCCATTATATCATAGAAGAAGAAGAATAAGGAAGTAGCTATTTTTTTCAGCGGTAAGTAGCCAGACAGTTAGTTAGTTAGCTAGCTAGCTAGAGAAACTGACAACTGTAACGTTAGGTACTAAAACATAACAACATGGCACAGGTTTCGTTATGGAAAGTCTCTCATAAAAGATCTCATCACCTGCATGTCTAACAAATGCCAATGAGATTACGTTTAGTTAGCTAAATAGCTAGCTGCCTAGTTTTGCTGACATGAATGAATAGCTAGCTTGTGAAGTTGTCTCTAGCTGTTCCAACGACAGAAAATCCAAATAAATGCCTTGTCAGCAAATAACATACATAATTATCCGTAGCTAGCAGACAAACATCTGGATGGCTAGCTAGATAACTAACGTTAGCTAATGTTTGTGTCGCCTGTCGTGTCAGTCAGGTAACACTCATCATGAGAATAAACGAAGATACCTTACTGGAGGGGAAACACGTCGTACTGGTGCCTTACAACGCAGATCATGTACCCAGGTAGGAAATAAATAGGAATTATATCAATTCACTGTCATTGATTGTCCCGCTGTAATTGCTTATTCTTATCGTGAAATCACGTATTCATTGTGTGTTTGTTTTGTTGCAGCCTATAAAAAGATTACGTTCTGTTGTTGCAGACTGTAGTAATTAGCAGTAGTTTATTGTATAGGCTTGCACTTATACAGTATTTACCTGCGTCTGTTTTTCACCATTTACCTTTTATCTACCGGTTCTCACCTGTCCCCTGTCTGTGTGGTTGCAGGTACTACCCGTGGATCAGCTCTCCTGAGCTGACCACATCTGTACCTGTCTGTATCTACCTGTCCCTTTCTCCACCCGTGACCTGTGCATGTATCTATCTACCTCTCCATGACAGGTACCACCAGTGGATGGGCTGTCCTGAGCTGCAGCAGCTGACTGCATCTGAGCCGCTGACTCTGGAGCAGGAGTATGACATGCAGAGGAGCTGGAGGGAGGATGATGACAGTGAGCCTTCGTCATACAACATACACACACACACACACACACACACACTGTGGTGTTTCAAGGGGCTCTTTGGGATGGTCTCTACACTTTAACACCTTCATTGTGGTCTCGCTCGCTCGCTCTCTCTCATGAATGTTTCATGTCATGTAGGGTCTTGACCCAATAAAGGGGATTTTAAAATACAATTATTTAGTTTCTTGTCTTTCTGTTTTGATTCCCAAACTCTGTTTTTCAGAGTGCACCTTCATCATCCTGGATAAACAACGGTGGGCGGACCCTGCTGTACAGGAAGAGCAGTGCATGGTGGGAGATGTCAACATCTTCCTGACGGACCCCAGTGACTCCTCCCTCGCCGAGCTGGAGATCATGATCGCAGGTCACACACACCTAAAACACCTAGAATAAATGTGTAATAAACATGCTACACAATTCCACCCATTCCTTGTTGGTACTCAGTTGGTCAATTAATGTCATTGGTCAGACACTCCTGGTTTTTCTATCAGTCACACAGCTTTTGCATGTCCTCTGTAGAGCCCAGTTACAGAGGCAAAGGCCTGGGAAAAGAGGTCACACGGATGATGATCTGCTACGGTACGTACAGAGATATTTCACTATGACAGACATTTAGATTAATATTGAGATTTTAAAACGTTGGGAATTTAGAATCAGGGTTTTAGAACACTGTGATCGTGCTGCCATAGTAACAGCTGTGCTGTGTTTCGTTGTCAGGGGTGACCAAACTGGGGATCCGGAAGTTTGAGGCGAAGATCGGTCTGGACAACAAAGTCAGCATCGCCATGTTCAAAAGGTTCCACTTCCACGAGGTAAGCAGGGTTTTATATGTGGTGTTAATCACATCCCTTACTAGGGGAAACCTTTATAAACGACTGCAATATGTTGGTCATCCTTACTTTAGTTATTTAAAGAGGGATTATTATTGCTCTGTATTTCAGTTCAGTTTCCCCAACTCAAAGGCTACGTTGAACACTGAAATTGTTCGTGTATTTATTGTATATGCAGTCAGAATACCTAATTTCACTAGGTCTTTTCCAAAGTATGATACTCTTGTAGTTGTATATTCACCCTAACCCCTAGCCCTTGACTCCTGCAGCTGTCAGTGAGCGAGGTGTTCAGGGAGGTGACCCTGGGCATGACGGTGGACCAGGCGGTGCGGACCCGGCTGCTGGGGGACATGGCCTTCATGCAGGAGAGAGAGTACAGGAAGGACCGGGACAGCCGGCAGGAAGTGACATCGTCACACGCCGCCCTGTGAAACACTGCTGCTACCGATTCGCTACCCTCCTCCTTCCCGAAGTGTGCGTTCATTCACTCCTCCCTCATGCATTTAGAAAGCATTGGATGGGTGTAATCATGGGCTAGACTAGAGGGACTTTAACACATTTCTTACGTCTGTCCATTCCTTTTAAATCCATAGGGGGTAGGGGCAGTGTATGGGTGCACACTTCGAGGAGAAGGGGGAGATACAGAATTGGGCTTTGGTAGAAGTTGCATTTAGGCACAGATCTAGGATCAGCACCCCCTCCCCCAATCTTAACCCTAACCATTAGGGAGGGAATGTAAGACTGACCCTAGATCAGCGTTTAGGGGCAACTTCCTCCTGTCAGAGCAAGGCATTCTGGGTACAGTCGAATACCTGGAACGGAGAGTTTAATTGGGCGAAGGACCCCATGGCCTGTGGCTGCTATAGGCTACCGTTGAACGGAACTCTACTGTGTTGTTTATACATGGCTGGGGAAAACTCCAGGCCTCAAATTTATTAACCCTAATAATAGTTCATGGCTACTCAGTGTGTCTACAAAGGATTCCCTGAACTCTATTGACGCTTGCTATCTAGACTCCACACAGCACAGTCGATTTTCAGATGGTGATACGCCCTGTCAGAAACATGGACTGTTCATAGAAGTACAGTTTTCACCCATATAATGGGACAAAGTTATTTGTATTTTGCTTGGATGATCTGTATTGTAGAGCTTATGTAGTCAGTCATCTACCTATTCCAATCATGTGTCAAGTGTCTTACGTCTTTTTTTTTTTACAGAAACAGAAATGTATATTTGCCGTCAAGGTTGTTTGTCAGTGTTTTGTAACTCTACAAATGTACTATGTAGATATTAAAATTGCCAAAGTGGTAAGGTTTTTTCCCCAATTATATTTATGGGTTTTCCATTGATTCAATCAACTGAGGCATGCCATGATGCTCCATTCTCATGTACACGTCTCTATGCAAAAACTTTACAAAGACAATTCTCAAGCTTATAGCCATTTATTGTTGACAGTCCATGAGCAGAGATTACGCATTACAAAAACAAGTGTAGCCAATTTACCCCAGATGTAAAATGCACAGGATTACTCCATATTCACAGCCCCAACCAAACACAGATACATACTGTTTATAACATGATCTGATTGGCTCAAATGCTGGCCTATACCTGGCTCTGATTTGCAGTTGGACTCAAGATTTCAATGCAGCACAGACGGGGCCAGTCACTATTGCCCAATTCCAAATCAACCCCTACCTTTTACGCCCTGTGCACCTGCGTAGTTCTGAAAGGAATAGGACAGGTATAAGCCGTATATAGTAGCTTCATCTTGCCCTCTATTAGGCAAGTGAATTTCCATAATATTGAATGCCGGTACACCTATCCAGACCTTTCAGATCTACAGTGGCTGGGGGTTGACTTGGGAGTGTGCATGTGTCACAGGGCAAGTCTCCGATCACACCCTATTCCCTTTTTAATAGTGCTTTGGACTAGAGTTACATACTGTAGGGAACCAGGATGTTAGTGAATTTTGACGCAGACAGCCACTGGTTAAAAACAGAGCGCATACAAAGAGGGGAAACCAGGAGCGACGACAGGACAATTCCATAGGAATTTAAGCTGATCGTCCATCTTTCTTTCTCGTCAGTCCATCCTTCAGTTTTCTACCGTTTCCACGGGTTCCGTTGCCATAGGTACGACTCCGAGCGGCTCCAGGAGTTTCTGCAGCAGCTCTCTGGCTCTGATATCCACTTCCTGTACCAGGTCGCGGACCCTCACATCTACTTCCTGTTCCCGGACCCAGGATAGGCCGTCATCCACGGCAACGTTGATTGGCGCGCAGACTGCCTCCTCCTTTAGCCCGGTCAGTTGACACACCCCCACGACGCCAGCCAATCCCAGCAGCAGCAGCAGGAGGAGCTTGAACAGCAGGCCAATAAGAGAGCGTCTTCGGGCTTTGGGGGTGGATTCAGCTGCTGCTTTCTTATCTGGAGAGAGAAAGAGATGTGAGTCAGTGACGTGCGCTGCACGACTTCATTAAAGACAACCTGGAATGCGCCCATTGCATACCTGCTGCTATCTGTCCATTCCGCTTTTTCTTCTCCTCTTTTCTCTTATTCTTCTGTTCCTGGACGGCCAAGGCAGCCATATGAGCGTTGTACTCCTTCCTCTTCCTCTCCTTCTCCTCTGCCTTGTCTCGTTTACGAGCCTCCCTCTCTTTCGCCTCCCTCTCCCTCTGCTTCGTCTCTTTCTTCTTCTCCAGTTCTAATGCGATGGAGGGACGGACGAAAGAAAACAGATTAACAGTTACAAATGTGTCATAATCAGTTTATATCCCCAACCCAAACTAATGAATTTAAAACCTCATAAGCTTTGATGTTCACTTTCTATCACGTTCGATGTACTCTGAGTGTACAAAACATTAAGAACACTTTCCTAATATTGAGTTGCACCCCTTTTTGCCTGCAGAACAGCCTCAGTTCATCGGGGCATGGACTCTACAAGGTGTCGAAAGCGTTCCACAGGGAAGCTGGCCCATGTTGACTCCAATGCTTGTGTCAAGTTGACTGGATGTCCTTTGGGTGGTGGACCATTCTTGATACACACGGGAAACTATTGAGCATGAAAAACCCAACAGCGTTGCAGTTCTTGACACACTCAAACTGGTGCGCCTGGTACCTACTACCATACCCTGGAAATGGCAGCCTATTCCCTACATAGTGCACTACTTTTGACCAGAGCCCTATGCTTTGGTCAAAAGTACTGCACTACATAAGGAATTGGGTGCCATTTTGGACGCAGAACTAGGTTGACGGGTGGAGCCCGTTGACTGACCACTGGCACCTGCATTGTAGTACCCACCTTTGTCCTTTAGGAAGCGCCGCTCCCTCTCTTTGTCCACCTCGTCCTGAAGGATCCTCATGTGCTGGAGAACCTACAATCATATTGTAATCGAAATGATATTGCACCATGCTGGAACCAAACAACCCTCTAGTCTATACCAACATTTCCTTCCTCCCCCATTCTCCCTTCATTTCTCCATCCCTACCTACCTCTTTTATTCAGTCCATCTTTTCTTCCCTACCTCCCTCTGCTTCTTTTAACAATGAATAAGCTTTATTATCAACTTCCATTGTCCTCCAAGAGTTGCGGAATCTCCTCTACTTCCCTCTGCCTACCTTCCCACCCCCCCCCTCCCCCCTCCCTCCCTCCCAGTCTTACCCTGGCAGCACATTGTTTACACTGTTTCTCATCCAGACAGTCTCCTGCAGCCTTCGCCAGGTTGATTTCCAGAGGGTTGTCCTTTAGATCCAGCCACTTCAGGTTCTACACACACACACACACACACAAATAAGCCTGTTGAGACTGTGTGAATTGTTTTCTGTCTTCAACCTTCGTCCATATGCCACTGTGGTCATGTTGGAGTTCACTAAGTTTACCCAGCTCAAAGATAGCTGGCTTATTCTTATTGTAGAGTTTACTGTATAGTCTTGGATATGAAAGGGATGTATGACTCACTGTTTTAAACCTGTTAGTAACGAACTAACAATATCATTTTCTGATTATTGTAAAATGTTATGGATAGGTTGATTACAGTTAGCCTTTCCTACTGTTGATGGTCAGATTCAAAGTTTATTCCCAGCTAATTCACAGGGCTTTACACATTTTTCTGATGAATATCTGTGTCTGCCAAAAAGTAATTAAGTACCTGTAAATATGACTATATATTATAGAATTAAGCATAGATTACCATACTAATGATGATGTTAATGAATAATAGTGGTGAAAATGCCAGGAGAATAATGGGACTTTAGGGACGCGGGGTGAATACGGTTTTCATACCAGCGCACCACTTGAAGCTTGTATTGCTTCTCGGAACATAGGAACACTATGCCCCTCTTGCTCGAGACATTACCACAATCAAATGGTTGCATAAGCAGGTTCTCTGGGCTGTCTGTACACTGATGTTTGGGTCTATTTTTCCTCTATTATATACATGAGAAATGTGAGTCATCACCAACTCATTTTGCCAAGTCAGCAGCATTTACACATACACAAATTATGCCCACTTAGTTGGGACTGGTAATTGCTTTGAATAAATTCTCTCTAGTTCTTAGTCCAACTTATTTCCAGCAGAATGGCATCAATGAACATGGGCCTTGTATTGTGCTGCAGTTTGCCTGCTATAATTATTGCTCTAGAAGAGCTTGGTGATGATGGGAACTAGCTACTACACCCGGGCAGATATATACACTACCGGTCAAAAGTTTTAGAACACCTACTCATTCAAGGGTTTTTCTTAATTTTTACTATTTTCTACATTGTAGAATAACTATGAAATAACACATATGGAATCATGTAGTAACCAAAAAAGTGTTAAACAAATCAATTCTTCAAATAGCCACCCTTTGCCTTGATGACAGCTTTGCACACTCTTTGCATTCTCTCAACCAGCTTCATGAGGTAGTCACCTGGAATGCATTTCAATTAACAGGTGTGCCTTCTTAAAAGTTAATTGTGGAATTTCTTTCCTTCTTAATGCATTTGAGCCAAACAGTTGTGTTGTGACAAGGTATACAGAAGATAGCCCTATTTGGTAAAAGACCAAGTCCATATTATGGCAAGAACAGCTCAAATAAGCAAAGAGAAACGACAGTCCATCATTACTTTAAGACATGAAGGTCAGTCAATACGGAAGACTTCAAGAACTTTGAAAGTTTCTTCAAGTGCAGTCGCAAAAACCATCAAGCACTATGATGAAACTGGCTCTCATGAGGACCGCCACAGGAATTGGAAGACCCAGAGTTACCTCTGCTGCAGAGGAAAAGTTCATTAGAGTTACCAGCCTCAGAAATTGCAGCCCAAATAAATGCTTCACAGAGTTCAAGTAACAGACACATCTCAACATCAACTGTTCAGAGGAGACTGAGTGAATCAGGCCTTCATGGTCGAATTGCTGCAAAAGAAACCACTACTAAAAATATAAATAAAATGTATGCACTAACTGTAAGTCGCTCTGGATAAGAGCGTCTGCTAAATGACTAAAATGTAAAAAATTTGAATGTAAAGGACACCAATAACTAGAAGAGACTTGCTTGGGCCAAGAAACACAAGCAATGGACATTAGACCGGTGGAAATGTGTACTTTGGTCTGGAGTCCAAATTGGAAATGTTTGGTTCCAACAGCCGTGTCTTTGTGAGACGCGGTGTGGGTGAATGGATGATGTCCGCATGTGTAGTTCCCACCGTAAAGCATGGAGGAGGTGGTGTTATGGTGCTTTGATGGTGACACTGTCTGTGATTTATTTAGAATTCAAGGCACACTTAACCAGCATGGCTACCACAGCATTCTGCAGCGATACGCCATCCCATCTGGTTTGGGCTTGGTGGGACTACCATTTGTTTTTCAACAGGACAATGACCCAACACACCTCCAGGCTGTGTAAGGGCTATTTTACCAAGAAGGAGAGGGATGGAGTGCTGCATCAGATGACGTGGCCTCCACAATCCCCCCGACCTCAACCCAATTGAGATGGTTTGGGATGAGTTGGACGGCAGAGTGAAGGAAAAGCAGTCAACAAGTGCTAAGCATTTGTGGGAACTCCTTCAAGACTTTTGGAAAAGCATTCCAGGTGAAGTTGGTTGAGAGAATGCCAAGAGTGTGCAAAGCTGTCATCAAGGCAAAGGGTGGCTATTTGAAGTGTTTAAAACTTTCTTGGATACTACATGATTCCATATGTGTTCTTTCATTGTTTTAATGTCTTCACTATTATTCTACAATGTAGAAAATAGTAAAAATAAAGAAAAACCCTTGAATGAGTAGGTGTTCTAAAACTTTTCACCGGTAGTGTATGTTTCATTATCTGTGTCTTTCTGTAACATGGGTACCAATGGGGAAACATGCTTCCCCTTTTAAAACATGCTAACTTCAGCGATTAGATACGGATAAGTATCGTGAGGACCCTGGCAATTCCCAGTCCTAATGTGTGTGTGTGTGTGTGTTTGTTACCCACCTTGAGCTGTGAGAAGCTGACAGGCAGAATGGTCAGCTTGTTGTTGTACAGGTCCAGGTGTTGCAGGTTGCCAAGGCGACCCAGATCGTCAGGTAGAACAGTCATCTGGTTCTTACTAAGGTCCACCTTGACCAAGTGACTCAGGCTGCAGAACTCCAGCTGGACACACACACACTGTTATGTACAGTCTGTAATAATAATAATAATCTCTCTCCACTCCTATTGCAACGTTCCACCATGGCGCCTATGATCCACAGACAGGAGACAGTGGAATGTCTGCACAAGTTCAACACTCAGAGGAAACTCAAGGTACACTACTTCTGCTACCCCCTACACCTCTCCTGCTCTACCCATACACCTCTCCTCCTCCACTTCCTTATAGTACAACTCCTTGACAATCCGGCTGGGTAGGCTACCATACATTAGTCAGTGACATTAGCCAGTTGTCTTCAGCGGAGAGCAACAGGGTGAGCAGGCTTCAGTTCCAGCCCAGCACTAACACAACTGACTGAAGGAAGGCACAAAAAATGGTCAAAGACTCCAGTCACCCAAGTCATAGACTGTTCTCTCTGCTACCGCACAGCAAGCAGACTATTTACATTGACCCCCCCCCTTTGATTTTACACTGCTGCTACTCGTTGTTTATTATCTATGCATAGTCACTTTACCCCTACCTACATGTCCAAATTACCTCCACTAACCTGTACCCCCACACATTGACTCAGTACCGGTACCCCCTGTTAAGAGAATATTTGCTATGTTTTTAAGGATTTGCATCTGACCACAAACTTTTCTAAAGGAACAACAAACTCATCAACGTGCACTTTCACCACCCTGTGAAGTTCATCATTACATATTTAATCTGTAGCCTAATAAACTGCATGCTTTCCCAAGTCGTACTGGTAGGACCACACAAATATCTTAGCATGACTCCAAGTTTATTTCTATATGATGGTTATTATATCAATATTTGCACATTAAGGCGTTTCCACCGCCATTTCTTACATAATTAATTTTACAGACAAAAAGATCACACCTCGTCTAGCGTATTTTGTTTGGTTGACATTTGGAAAGTTTACCGACAAATTAGCTGTTTTCATCAGGCCTGTCATGACATTCTTTATCCGACATGTCCTTTACATGGATAAAAAGGTTGGATGGAAACTTGGTTGGTGATACCAATTATTGGTATACAGTCAAACAAAGCACTGCAAAAACGTAAAGTTTTCTTACAAGCCAGAATGTTGAATAAAATTACATTTGAATTTACTCTACCGGTTGTCTGTGCAGTTGGTCCTAAACTGGTCTACATTTTTGACAAAATATCCACAGGAAAGTATTATTTACCTGACTTTGTAGAGCGCCGGTACTGCCGTTGAAATTTCTATCACCTGGCACATGTGCAAAACCATGTAAACACCTGCAAGACTTCAGTTAGTATGCATGCATCGTGTGCATGTACTTCCGTCCTGTGCATGTGCCTTGGTCATGATCAAACATCTTGATTGCCACACACACAGACCAGCATTTTGAAATGGGTTTAATAATACTTTCCTGTGGATATTTTGTCTCAAATTTCAACCTGCTGAAAGACCAACCCGACGGACAATCGACACAGTAAGTTCAAATTATTATATAATTGTATTCAACATTTGTGACAGACAAGGGACGTTTAGTTTTTTCTTCTATGTAAATGTGTGTGGCTATGCTATACACAACGGAAAGCATCACCACATTCGGGACTAGGTTCATTCAAGGTTACTCACAGGCAGGGAGGTGATATTGTTGCAGGACATGTCCAGGACTGTGACTTTAGGGAAGGCAGCCTGAAAACACACACATAAGGGTATGACAACATGACTATTGCCTACCAGTGGCGGCTGGTGGGAGCAGCTATAGGAGGACGGGCTCATTGTAATGGCTGGTACGGAATTTATGGAACGGTCTCAAACAAATCAAACATATGGAAACCACATGTTTGACTCCGTTCCATTTATTCTATTCCAGCCATTATAATGTGCCTGTCCTCCTATAGCTCCTCCCACCAGCCTCCACTGTTGCCTACAATACATGGCTTTATAAAGGTAATGTGTGTGTCGTTGTGGGCCTACCAGTTCTTTAACAGGAACTTCAGTGAGGTTACAGAGACTCAGATCCATCTCGTTGCCATCGATTTTGTCCTTCAGATTCAACACCTTGTTTTTACTCATCCTGAGTTTTGGGTGGGGGGCTGGGGGAGAATACAAGTTATTTTCAAAACAGAAACGTTCAAACATAACTAATAGAATAGCTAACTGACATGTTGACTATGGTTTGCTAGCTGCTGTAGCTTATCTAGCCAACAAGCTAGTTAACGTAAGCTACGTTGTTGCAATGTTATTATTTTACTGTCGTTGCAATCACTTCTTAGCTAAGCTGACTAGTTAGCTACAAAGTTACACTTTATTTTCTTGCTCGCTACAGTGTCATTGACAGCGCAGCAAAGTAACCTTTTCCTGGTAACGTTAATCAAAGGACTCACCTGTTTCACTGAGAAATCACAACCGTTTTCAAGCGTCTCAGATCTTCTATTCCTACTAATAAATACTACAACAATCTCTACTTTAAAGACAGTTGGCAAAATATTCGTACAGTGCAAGTAAATCGCTGACAAATATAATTTGTGTGTGGCTTTAGCCAGGCTGCAGTTAGTTGTGACAATGAAAATCCACGTCATTGATTGAATTCGCAGTCCAGTTGGCGGTGTGGCAATTACGCGACATTTCAGAGCATTATCGCCACCTACAGCTTGGAGGAGCAACTGGCAAGTCTCTCTCTCTCTCTCTCACACACACACACAGGAAGGTTATTTCTTTATTGTTGTTCAGCATAGTCTACAATACAATTATTTAGTTGAAAAATGACATGAAAAGCACACAGTTTATTATAACCAGGAACAAAGTTGGGTAACATAAGTACTCTTTCTATAGTGTTTGAATATGCTAACCTCTGCACACACATTGATATTTTATTCATTTGAATTTATTTAGCCAGGATAGTCCACTCAGTAACAATTGCCACTGTTTTCCAGGAAGTCCTGGGTTCCATAGAATCAATGAAAACACACCATACACAGAAGCATATACAGCACAGAAGGTTGGCGGCACCTTCATTGGGGAGTTTCTTCTCAAGTGCAGTCGCAAAAACCATCAAGTGCTATGATGAAACTGGCTCTCATGAGGACCGCCACAGGAAGACCCAGAGTTATCAGCCTCCACTGATCTAGATATGTGTACAGCTCTTTTGAAGGTGGACATGCTGGCTAGCTGTCATGTGGATAAGTACAGCTTGTTCCAGCGCAATGTTTCAAAGAACTGCAGGCTGCCTTGGAAGGTCATGTTTTTCGCTGATGGTTGTGTCAGTAGGTGTCGGTCCCATTGGTCAAAGGCTTTGGCTGCTGCTCATGTGTGCCCCACGGAGGATGGGTGGAGACTCCCACCTGAACAGATCTGATGTGAAGTTTTTGTGTGAATTTTTATTAGGATCCCCGTTAGCTAACGCCGTAACATTAGCTAATCTTCCTGGGGTCCAACACCAATTAATAAAACGTTACAAACAATTACAAAGTAAGACTTTACAAACATTTAACAAGTAGACAATACAGACAATTAAAATACCTGACAAGTAACACATGTAACATTCAGTTGATGCTTTCTATTTCCTGTACAGTCATATGGTCTATCGCATTAGATGTTCTTTTACTTTTTTTCTTGAAGGTGGATTTACTTTTTGCCTGAGAAATATGGATTGGTAAAGAGTTCCATTCAGCTATGGCTGTATATAAAACTGTAGATTTAATGGCGATTTGTCCTTGGCTTGGGTTGTCTGAGATGCCCTGAATTTACCTGTCTGGTTTGGTGGTTATACGTGTTGCTAGTATATACTAACTGGTCTGAAAAATACTGTGTTTAAAAAATATATATAACATTCCTAAAGAAAATCAGAAGACTGGATAGTAATTTGTTTTCAACGTGAAGCCATGAGAGATTCTAATGCATTTGGATAATATTCATACAGATAGAGCAATGAAGAGCTAATCTGGCAGCCCTGTTTTGAGTGATTTTGAGCTTTTTTATATCTTTCTTTGCTGCAGATGACCATATAACTGGACAGTACTCTAGGTGTGATACGACCATGGATTGAATCACCTGATTCAGAGTGCTAGATCTTACATACTCTGAAAATGTTCTTGTAACAGCAAGCATATATCTTCAACCAAATACAATACATTTAGTTTTAGAAATGGTCAACACCAATTTGTTCATATCAACCCACTCAGACACCATTCTTAGTTCACTACATTCTGATGCTGCGCTTTACATTGTAGAGTCATCAGCATACATTACCACTCTTGCTTTGTTCATTACTGAAGGTAAATCATTAGTAAAGATAGAGTAGAGAAGTGGGCCTAGGCAGCTTCCTTGAGGAACACCACGGTGTTATATCTTTAGTGTTTGAAAAGCTACCTATTAAAGAACACTTTTATCAGACCATTACATAAGAAATAATCCTTGATTTGTACAGATATAATTTACTTAACACCGGCAGCAAGCTTATAGGATGACTATTAGGACTAGTGAATGCAAATTATTTTATCCTTAGGTAGCGGAATAACCTTTGACTCTTTCCAAACTTCTGGGCACACCCCTTACATCAAGCACGTATTAAAAATATGAGATTGGGGTAGATATTCAGGCAGTTTGTGCTGTGTGGCCTTGAAAACAGTCACTAGGGTGTTGTAATGGATCCTGTCCGTCAGTGGTTGGATTCCAGCTTTTTGCAGAAGAACCTCTGTTTATATGTGTTCCCTCCGTGAATGCCCGGTCTTGATACGAGCAGCCCTGTTGACGATACGCTGTAGCTGGTTAAGACCTGTCTTATTGCACTGATGTAGGGACACCATACTGTGGCACAGTCACAGGAGGTTGGTGGCACCTTCATTGTGGTGATCGGGCTCGTGGTAATGACTGGAGCGTAGTGGGCGGGATGGTTACAAATACATCAAACACATGGTTTCCAGATTTGGCCCTCGAGCCAAAATTATTTCCCACGCCTGTTCTATGTGGTGATGCAAATACCTAATGAAGGGCACTTACTAGTGAAGGGCACTTCAAGTATTTTCAGTTAGCCTTTTCATTCGTTCACCTAAAAGAGCCGGCTCCGAAAATCTCTTTGTTCAGTAGCCATGATTGTGTTAATTAGAATGGCCTCTGCCAAGGGCTTCCAAATCACTAAATCCGCCACTGCTTGTCCACTAGCGCATCATCAGGCAAATTATGTTTATGCCAAATTATACACTTAGTGGCCATCTTGTACTGGGTTGGATCCCCCCTTTGCCTCTAGAACAGCCTGAATTCTTCAGGGCATGGAAACGTTGCTCAATTACATCACCACTACCAGCCTGTACCGTTGACACCGTCATGCTGCTTGTCCACTAGCGCATTATCAGGCAAATTATCTTTATGCCAAAATATACACTTAGTGGCCAGTTTATTAGGTACACATTTCATGGGATGTTGCAAGAACATTAATGTGTCTAGTTTTCTGAGGTTTAGGAGAATATTCCATCAATGTCACGCCAAACATACATGGAGCATGGTTGACATGTTCTCAGAATATAAGAATGTTCTAGACACATTTCATGGGAACATTGCAAGAACATTTGTGCCCAGTGTTCTGAGAGTTAGGAGAATATTTCATCAACATCACACCAAACATACACACCCCTTGTTACTGTTGCTGAGCCCATCAAGACCCTGATTAGTGAACAACTGATCAATTCACAGCTCTTTGTCTGTTGGCAAGGTTAGGGACACCCACAAACAGTGCTTTTAACAGTGGCGGCTCCTGAAAAAATTCTCAGGAGGGGCAATTTTTCTGATGATTTAGGTGACCTACACACATTTTAAAAAAGATATGTCCAGCAACAACATGAAGACAGGGGCAGCATATAAGTCAATACCAGAAGCATTTATTGACTGATCTGGGGAGATGGATTCCAGTTTCTGTGACAGATTATAAATAATCTCTGATGCCTTTGTTATATTAGCTTTTGGTTGAATGTACTGTCGTAGTAAATATATAATGTTATAGCTTGGTCTGACTAAAATCTTGTGCATGACCCATTTTGTGTTGGGCGTTTGTTTTCAATCAATGCTGTTCCTATCCTATAACAATGGACAAAAGAGTCCTATCTTGTCAGCCTTGTCAGCAGGTGGCCAAGGACAACACCCACGCCATAGGTCTCTCAGTTCTTCCAACTCACGAGTTCTTGCTCTGAGGACACACACACACACACACACACACACACACACACACACACATCATCACTGATAACACACACACACACACACATCATCACTGTTAAACACACACACACACACACACAAAAATCCCCTCTCTTTAGGCTGAACATTTGAAGACAGAGAACCCGACTCAGAGCCAATGCAACAGTGGAGGGGACCTCGCCCAACTCATCAGGACCAATCAGAAGATCAGAACTACTAGATTCAACCTACATCATTTATTGTATAAAATGTCTGCACACAATGTTTTCGGGGCTCTCTTCAGATAGCTCCCTAAGAGTTTGACGAACGAGTCCGTGCACGCGATTCCAGATATCTTTACCTCTGAATAAACTGCCTTTATTATACCATATCCACCCTGTCCAAAGTCTCTACTTGGTCTCACTTCTCCAGTAAACTTGTGATTATCAACAGTACACAACGGTAACAAACAATTGGGGGAACTCACGGGGCAGATAGTAAGGTCGCAGTGACACAGAAAGCATTTCAATGTCGGGGGTACAGAGTCGCTCTCTTACCAGGATCGATTTTCCCTGTGACTGTGTCAGATCGCGGTCCGCTCTGACCAGGGTGAAGCCGGCCGGCTCCACTTCTCTGTCCGGGACTCTGTCATCCAGCCAAGTCTCCCAGCTGTATTGGATTCCGCTGCCAGCAGCGTTTTCATTATTTAGTCCGTTCGTAGCGGGTATGTACACGATCAACAAGATCAGTCCAAAACCCACCACTGGAAATCCATGGTTGGCAGAATGTTTGTAAACTAAGTGTACAAATTAAAAACATAAAATAACGCCACTAAGTGTACAAATTAAAAACATAAGATAACGCCACACTGCAGGTCGCAACAGAGACGCTGCTAGCCGCTATTTTCTTAGTTACGTTCATGGTTACGTCACGTATGACGAAAGCGCGTAAGTGCAAGCCCACAGACACCCATAGAGATTGTATTGAAAGCTTTGAAATTTGAAAAAAATAGATTTTACATGGGAGTCTATGACAGACTTCTGGGCGATTTTCAACATGACTGAAATCGCCCCAAAAACGGGCGGGGCCATTTGAAGCACGACTTTAGCCTGATTTGACATTTAGTGGCAGTCAGATCAGATTAGAACACTGATAACTACTGTTGCCGTGATATAATTGATTAGAAAAAAAAATCCCTTCCTTTTCCCGTTTGGCAGTGCGTCGCCCATATCGCCCTATTGAACACACCGCCCCTGGCTTTTAACATACAATATTTTCAATTTACATATTTGACAGACATGATTTCATTGTGTATGTTTATTTATAC